TATCCTCACCAAACTCCACCCCCCAAAATCAACCCAACAGCAACGACAAAATAAAAACCCCTCACAAACTCAGCTATCGTGGGGTACAGAAGCCACTTGGGGAAGACTGAGGGGGACTTGTTTTATTTCTTTTTTTTTTTTTTTTCTTTTTGCCTAGTTTTGTTTTTTAGGTATTCATACACGGACATGCTTACAAGTCATAACTATACAGAGAGATTTTTTTTTTTACAATTATTACAACGATTGAAAATTTTTAAAAATAAGTACTAGGATGAGGAGAGAGCCGATAAGACCAGAGCGGCATCCAGGTGGTTCTGGGGCCTGGAAGAGAGAAGCAGGGGTAGCAAAGGACGTGAGCGCTCGGGGCCCCGACGCTGCCGCCGCGGGCTGGGACACCCAACCTGGGCCTGAGGCTGGGGGGCTTGGGGGTGTCTGGGCGTCAGATGAGGTGCAGCTTCCGTTTGACTATCAGAAGGTTGGGAAGGAGTCAGGACCCGAGGTCCCGGCTTGAAGACCTCCGAGTGGGCTTCCCAGAGCCGCCGCCCGCCTCAATGGCCCGCTGCCCCGGCCAGGTTCGGGTTCCGACCGCGCCGTGCCCTGGGCACGGACTGGGTTGCCCAGGCCTCTCTGGGCCCGCGGGCACAACGGAGGGTGTGGGTCTTGTCCCCTTTTTAGAGCCCGTCCCCGAGGCCGCATTCCCCGGGGGCAAAAGCCTCGGGGCTCCGCGTTCGCGCCTCGCCCACTCGCGTGCCCCCCGCCGCCCCCACCGCGGGGTCTCTTACCGCCTGGGCACGGGCTGGAAAGCTGTCTTGAGTAACTTTTTCTCCACTTCCAAGGCACTACAGCGATCTAGGGGAGCGGGGAAGGAAAAGGGGGGCCTTTAGAGAGCTCCGTGGCAGCGCTCGGGGCCGCGGGAGGCAGGCGCGGGGTGGTAAGCGCCCTGCGCCCCCCGGGGTCCTGCCCGGCTCCGCGGGCCGCGGCGCGACCCCCAGGACCCAGCGCCTCCCTCCGCCGCTGCGCTCCGTAGTCACCTGCTCCGCCCTCGGGCTCCGCCGGCCGAGCGAAGGCGGCGGCGGCGGCGGCCGGGTGGCCCGCGGCTCCGGGAAGTCCCAGCAGGTGTGGAGGGGCCGAGCCGAGCAGGGAGAGCGGGTGCGGGCGGGGGCCCGGCGTAGGGCCTGGGAACGGCCGGTTGGTCCAAGCGGGGAACTTGCCCAGCGGCGCCGAGACGAGTCTGTGAGCCGCGGCGGCCGCGGCGGCCGGAGAGAGCTGCAGGGCTGGGGGCGCGACGGCTGCCCCCGGGGGAGAAGCCCCCGCGCCCGGAGGCGAGCGGCGCGGGTTGTCCGGGCTCGTGGCCGTCTCGGCCAGGGACCAGATCTTGGGTTTTTGCAGGGCTGAGGAGGGCGCTGGTGCGGGAGCGCAGGGGTCCAGGCCCGCAGGAGGCGAGGGCGGAGACGGCAGAACGGCGGGCACCGGCGGTGGCGCCGGGGCCAGACTCAACACGGGCAAGGGGCGCTCCTCCAAGCCCTCGGAGCTGTCGTCCGAGTCGCTGTTCTTGGGGTCCGCCATGGGTCTCAGGCCGAGGTCGCCGTCCCGGTGCGCCGCCCCGGCCAAGGCCAGCTCGGGCCCCGCGGCCGCGCCGTCTAAGTTCTCCAAGTCGATCTCCTCGTCGTCGTCGTCGTCCGCCAGGCCCTCGCCCCCCGTGTCTTCCTCCTCCCCCACGAGCCCCTCCTCCTCCTCCAGCTCCAGTTCGCGTTTGCCGTCTTCGTCGTCCTCCTCTTCGTCTTCCTCCTCGCGCTCGCTGCCGTAAGCGTTCCCCTCCTCGTCGGTGCGGCTGCGGGGCGCCCACGTCATCTTGTTCTCCTTCTTGAGGCGCCGGCGCGCGTTGGCGAACCAGGTGGACACCTGGGTGAGGGTCATCTTGGTGATGATGGCCAGCATGATCTTCTCGCCCTTGGTGGGGTAGGGGTTCTTGCGGTGCTCGTTCAGCCAGGCCTTGAGCGTGGAGGTGCTCTCCCGGGTGGCGTTCTTGGGACGGGACGGGTCCCCGAACTGGTACTGGCCATACGGGTAGAAGGCAGGGTGCGGGTGCGGAAACGCAGCGGCCGCGGCCGGATGCTGCACCCCCGGGCTGTCTTTCAGCTCGTACTGCGCGCCCTGTACGCACATGGAGAAGGAAGGGACACGCGCGGTGGGAGCACGGGTGAGCCCTAGCCGTCGCCGCCTCCACCCTCCCCGGCCCGGGCCCCGCCGCTCCACTCCCGCGCGCTCCACCTCGCCCCGCGCGGCCCAGAACCAGCCCTCCCCCCACCGCCCTCCGGCTCCCTGGGCGCTTACCAGCTGCGGGAAGATGGGCAGCTCGGCGGCGTAGGGCAGAAAGGCACCGTAGCCTTGGGCGGCGGCGGCCGCCGCTGCCGCGGCTGCGTAGGGCGCCCCGTACACGGAGGAGAGCACGTTGGACAGGGACCCCGAGGCGGCCAGCTCCGAGGCTCCGGCTCCCGGGCCGCCCCGGGCTCCAGCGCTGCCGCCGCCGCCGGCGGCCCCCGGGCGCTCGGGTGGGTAGAGCGGGCGGATGTACTGGTATCCGAGCTGGGGGAAGGACATGGTGGCCCGCGGGGCACGGACGGAGAGGGGGCCCGGCCCCCGGGGCCGCCCTGCTCAGCGCCGCCCGCGGGCTCCGGCGCGCATCGGGGGCTGGGCCGGGCTGGGGCCGCGCTGCGCAGCGCTCCGCGTTCGCCTATGGATCTGCTCCGCGGCGGCGGCGGCGGCGGCGGCGGCGGCGGCGGCGGCGGCGAGGAGCCAGGTCAGGTCCGAACAGATTGGCGGAGATTCCCGGGGCTCCGGGCTCTGATTGACATTTCTACGGGCCCGCAAGCCCCTCCTCTCTGCGCCGCGCTCCCTCCTCTCGGCAGCCCGAGCCGCCTCTGCGCGCGCCTCGCTCCTCGCCGCCCTCCTCTCCCCGAGCAGAGTCGCGCCTCGCTTCCTTCACCCTCCTCTAGTTTGTACTCCCCCACCTCGCCCTTCCTCTCCCCTCCCTCTCTGCGCTCCTCTCCCCCCTAGGATCGCTTCCGCTCCTTCGGGCTCGTTCACTCTCCAGGACGATCGGAAACTCTGTTCTCTCTCCTTTCCCGTTCTCTCTAGTCCCTTTTCTCTTCTCCCCTTTCTGTTCCCTTCACTCTTTCTTCACCCCTGTTTTTATCTCTCTCTCTCTCTCTCTACTCCCACGGCACTCTCCCCCCCCCCCCCACCTCACCCCCAGCCCTGGCTTCGGCGCCCCGGGCTCAGGCGGCCTAAAGTTGGGGACACTTAGGGTGCCGTGCGGGGGTGTGAGTCCGTAGATCTGTGTCTAAGTCTGTGTGTCCGTCCCCGCCCTCACCTCCTCCCTTGCCCTTCCCCAAATCTCGGGTCTGACGTCGCGCCCTCTTATTCGACTTTTCCTCGCGTCTCCTTCCCGAGTCTCCAATCGCCTGGGCGCCTTCCAGGCGGGGCCGCCCACCCCGGAGGACACGGCGCGCGGGGCGGGGCGGGGCGGGGCGGGGACGCGGGCCCGGGCGCTCGGAGTCCTCGCCCGCCCCCTCCGGCCTGCGCGGGGAGGGGGAGCGGGAGGCGCTGGGACGCGGGTTAGCACGGGGTCAGCTCGCCCCTCCCCGCTGCCCTCCCCTCGGTACCTCTCCACCCCCCCCCCGCCCCCAGCCTCAGCGCGGGGCCTGGGTCTGGACCAGATCCTGGTCCGGGGCGGGCGCCGGGGCTCTCCGCGGCCCGGACCCCCTTTTCGGCTCGCGCCTCTAGACTCCGGACAGTGTCAGCGGCGTAGGGAAATAGCTAGAAGAACGCGCGAGGGGTGAAGGGGTGCGTTCTGGTCGAATCTTCAAAGGCCATCTCATTGCCCAGGGGAGCGAAGCAGCCCCCCTACCCAGCTACTTCAACGCCTCGGGTGTCCGGGTGCGAATCTCTTATTAGAAATGGCGGGCTCTGCCTTTGGAGGGGCTGAAGTGTGGACCCCCCCGGGGCCCTGGGGAGCCACGCCTGGGAAGTGGAGCCTACGGGTGCCCTAAGCGGGTGTGCGATGGGGGAGGAGCAGAGAGCCGGTGGCAGAAGCCCCAGGAACTTTCCGAGAGCGCTCCGGGAAGTTTGTATACTGGAATTTTCGGTCGGTAGACATCCTTCCTTTCACTACCCCTTCCTCTGCGCCCCGGTCACCGTGCCAACCTGTTTTCTTTCTGTACGGATCCTATCACCGTCTCGGGTGGGGGTGGGAGGCAAGACTTTTAGTTCTACGGTGGAATATTTCCTAAATCAAACCTGAAATCCCAGTATCCGAACGCCCACCTTCAGGGATTAGGGCGTGCAACCGACAGCGGGATTGACATTCCCGGAATCGTTGAGGCTCTGGGCTAAAAGCTTTAGGCCGCGACTGCGGCTGACGCACAGGCCAGGCCTGCCGCGGGGGCGCTCCCGGGACAACACGAGGGCGGCGACTCTGTCCTGGAGGGGCCAGTTCGGGCTGCGAGGCGGAAACTGGCCGCCGCGCGCTGATGGAGAGAGCAATTGAATCCGAATTCCATCAGAGTAAAGGGATCCGAGACTCCTGGCCCCGGCTATCTTTGGTCCAAGCGGCTTTGGGCAGTCAGTCCAGTTGAGGAATGAACTCCCAGTTTTGACCCCACTTCCCACTCCCCGCCCCTCCCCCCTTCACCGGTCTTCGCGCGGGGGCGGCGGTTCCAGAGAAAAATGGGGGGAAGACAAGGCAAAGTTTGCGGGAGACTAGGTTTGGGGTTCGATTGGGGAAACTGACTTGTGTGGCCTTTTCAAATTCCTCAAATTCGGTCGAGCCCTTTCCCATATCTCCTCCCCACCTGCTTCTTTTCCTGATACCTGGCGTTGGCCTTAAGCTGGAGTCTCTCCAGAGAAGGAGATATCGGGGGAAGCTCTGGCTTTGAAATGTTTCCCGGCGCCTGATTTCGTTTACAGTTAAACCTCTAAGCCAAATGGCATAGGGAATCATGGGGCTCACCTTCTCGCGGAAAATCTCAGGGCTTACAAATTTGAAGGTAACATTATTTCCCGGAGTGTTTCTAGGTGGCAGACCTCGAGCCTAGACGGCCCTGAACCCTAGAGTTTGCGCAAAGTGGTGGCACCAGACCTGCGCGAGCCAAGAGCTAGATTCCGAGGTGGAGACTCTGGGGCTGCGCTGTATATGCCCGGATGAGACGCTCGCTATTTAACTCAGCTCTTCCAGAAGGAAAAGAGAAAAACCATGAGCCCCGGAGATGCTTCTTCCGCTTTAACCAGCTATTGACCTGGCTGCGTCCAGCTGCGGGAGACGGGGAAGGAGGCCAGGAAAGGGGCGAGGTTGTTCTCAGTGAACCAACCACGCAGGTCCGGGGGCGCCCATAGCCGGGAGGGCACCCCGAAACCCCAGACCCATACACGTACTCAAGAAGGCGCCCAGGTCCCGAGCAGAAGCCGCCTCTTCACTACCCTAGTGTCCAGCAGAGATCAGCCCCGCCCCGGCCAGGGCGGTCCGCGCTTCACGTCGGGACTCAGCGTCCTAGGCGGCCGAGCCCCGACGTGTCCCTGGCTCCCCAACTCGACCCGGCCAACGGAGCCCGGCTCAAGACTGAACTCTCGGGTTCGAGGGCAGTCGACCCATTTCCAGAGCTTTTTAATCCAAGGGATGCGGTCAAAGTGACACTCGCACAGGGAGGAACAGCAGGTGCACGGGAAGTTGATTTGGGAAAGGCATGCGCGCACAAGCGTGCCGCACACAAAAGCTTCTCCGTCTTTTCGCCTTCTTCCAAAGTTCCCAGCGCACAAAGCGCTTCGGAGGCTTGCTGTAGACGCTCTCTCTACGCGGCCCAGAGCGTGGCAGTGCACGGAGAGCGTGTCCATAGCACACGTTTGGTGCACACAGCTGCGTTCGCTGGACTCGCACCTGGGGCCGCGCGGCCCGACGTGTGCCCGAGGCCCGCGGCCCGCCAGGCTATAGGGCAGCGCCGCGCTCGGAAAGCGAGCAGCTAGCCACCGGGCCCCTTCCCGCCCCCTCCTCTCCCAGCCCCACGGTGCGCGCGCGTCCCCGTCGGGGGGCGCCGCCGCCGCCCTAGGTCTCCCTGCCGAGGCCCATCTTCTGTCCTTCGCTCCCAGAACCGAAATCCCAGAGCTGCAGTGCGACCGGCGATCCCTCCGCTTCCTGCAGACGCCGCGGCGCACGCTCCCACCGCTCCCTCCCCCCGCGCTCGGGTTACAGGTTAATGAAATGCTCGTTTTCCTCAGTCATTTGTTTTGTTTTCCTGCAAAGTTCTGATAAGTAGCTAACCAACGAAGCTTGTAATTACAATCTTACAGAAACCGGGCCGATCTGTATATAAATCTCACCATCCAATTACAAGATGTAATAATTTTGCACTCAAGCTGGTAATGAGGTCTAATACTCGTGCATGCGATAATCCCCTCTGGATGCTGGCTTGATCAGATGTTGGCTTTGTAATTAGACGGGCAGAAAATCATTATTTCATGTTCAAATAGAAAATGAGGTTGGTGGGAAGTTAATTTCTCTCCGCTCTGTGAAGCGTAGACAAGAATTTAATGATTTAATTACAGTTGTAAGCCCTTTCCATGAGACTTAAATTGAGCTGAGAATATTTTTTTTTCTTCTTCTTCTTCTCTCTCTCTCCCTCTCTCTCTCTCTCTTCCGCATTCTCTCTCTCTCCGCTATTAGCAGCCTTGCGGACACTGGAGTGCGCGGCCTGGCGTTCTCACCGGGAGGGATTTGCGTCAGGCCGGAATCCGGACCCCGGGCATCCCAGGAGGCGCGGTCCGGCGGCCTCCAGAGCCGCCCCAGAACCGGCTGCCTCTCCCCCCGGCCGCCGGGGCCTCGGAGCCGGTCCCTGCATCCCGAGAAGCTTCGGGAGAAACTTTGCCAACTTTGCTCTCGGCGAGGGAGAGGCCGCCCGGCCGGCCACGGCAGCTGCGACGCGCAGAGTGGGCCCCAAGTCAGGCCCTGGCACCCCGCAGCCTGCCGGGCCGCCCAAGGAGGGGTGCGAGGCCGGCGGGCGGCCCCGGGGTCCCCGCTGCGCCCCCGCGCGTCCCCCATCTGGCCCGCGCCCCGGGGTCTCCGAGCCGCCGGAGACTCGCAGCGCACAGGATGGCGGGTACGGAAAACCTGGCCTTCAGCGCAAGTGATCTGATTTTTCTTTACCTCGCCACGATCATCCTTTTCCCACCTGACTTGAGCTGTTCGACTGCCTCCCTCTCCTTTGTTTCCCTCGCCCCGTCGGTGTCTGTCTGTCCCACTTCCTAGGTATTCGATCTCTAAGCCATTCCTTTTCATTCTTTCCTCCGCGCTCCCCATTTCGTTGTTTCCTTCGCTCCCCGGGACCACTTTGCAGTTACTTTACTCAGTTTTGCACCTTCTCCCTTCTCTTATTTGGTCTCCTTTTATCTCCGTCTGCCTCCGTGACCGTCCCTGCCCTCGCTCTCATTTCTCCTTCCACCTTTTCTTTCTTTCGTTCATCCTAATCTGTTCCCTTCCCCTGTTCCTTGGTCGGCCCCTCAGGCTCTCTCCTCCGCGTGTATCTTCTCTCTTCCCGTCTTCCTCCCCGGGACGTGTCCCCTCCCCCCGTGGATCTGCCTTCCCCGCGGCGCCCCCTCCTCATCCATCTTGGGAGATGAATATGTCGCCTTATTGGATGCCGAGGCCAGAGCCGGGTGATGGGGCTCGGCCAGCCTCGCGCGTTTTCTTCATGCATATTGAGGAGATGGTAATGAGCGCGTTTGCATTGTTGCATGGAAATGCTGCGTTTCCGGCCGCAATTCGGGGCCGGCGAGGGTGGCGCGGGCCCAAGAGAGCCCGCAGTGGGCACCTGGCCTGGTGGCCGCAGCTGGCCCTCCACGGGATCGCCGGCATCGGCCCCGGGGAGGAAGTGACCTCTCCGGAGGGCTCGGCCCGGCCGCCGCCTCCTTAGGCTGCTTCTCCACAAAGGCCGGCGCGCTCCCCCTCATTAAGGCCTCGTTAAGGGACCCCCGCCTCGCTCGCGAAGGATCCCTCAGGATCCCTCGTGCCTGCCCCCCTCCACCCCCCAGCCCCGGCCGGCCCGTGGGCCTCTGGGCCCCCCTCCCCTGATATTTCGAGACCTGTGATGGAGCGCCACCAGGAAATGAGTGCCTGACCACGTCGTCTAGTGGCAATAAATTGTTTGCGGTTCCGAGGGACACGACGGCGCGGGATCAAACACAGCCTCATTGTGTGCCCTGCTCCGCTGGCTCCTGAATCTGGAAGGGCGCAGCGGCTTCGCTGGGCCAGGGAAGGTGGCGCACAGGCCCCTGCGTTGTCCCTAGGTGGCTCCCGCCTGGGCTCAGCCTGACGGAGCGGACTTGGAGAACCCAGCCATTCTAGAGGGGCCTGTCCCTCCCTGGGAAGGGATGGGACCGGGCCTGCCTCTCAAATAGGTGACGGTTTATGAAGTCAGAAGCTTCCCGGAGCAAACTCTGAGTTGAGCTCGAAGGGAACTGAATGCTGGAAAAGTCAGAAGGGCGCGGATACCGAGCTCAGGTCCAGCCCAGCAGGGACCCTTGAGTGTTAGACATTCGCCCTAAGCCCCCATCGTCCTTCCAATTCGAAGCCGGGAAAGCAGAGAAAACATCTAGATCTGGCCTTGTCTGAAATCAGTGGTGTCGAGTTTCCCAAACTTCAAACCCTCCACTACCACCTCTACTGTTATTTGTTTAACATTTTTCCTTAAGTTGACTCATTTTAAATACTTAAATACATGTTTTGGGAAACAAAAACCCCATACTGCTACTGTAAATTGAAAAGCAGTTCTTACTCACCATAAAGGGAAATAGGAAAAGATAAAAACAACTAAAATCAAGTGATCTGAAACATTTGAGCCATGTTGCTTGCTTGGGAATCACTTCTAGAGTGTGTGTGTGTGTGTGTGCGTGTGTGTGTGTGTGTGCGTGTGTGTATTGATTAGCAAGTGTTGAGAGTATTAAATACTGGATCTTTTTCAGAAGCGATGAGCAAATCGAAAAGGGAATGCTTCTTATTATTCAACAATATGAATTCTCTGTCTCTAAGATAAATCATATTGAGGACCCCAAAGGCTGCAGTGGAATAGGGTTTAGTAATATCATTCTCTGCTAAAGAGTATGTAAAAAAATTAGGATTAAATAGAAACATGTTGAGTTATTATTATTTTTTTTTAAATATTTTTTTATTTATTTCTAGGAGAGAGAGAGAGACAGCGTGAGCAGGGGAGGGTCAGAGAGAGAGGGAGTCACAGACTGAAACAGGCTCCAGGCTCTGAGCTGGCAGTCAGCACAGAGCCCGACGCGGGGCTCGAACCCACGAACCGCGAGATCATGACCCAAGCGAAAGTCGGACGCTTAACCGACCAAGCCACCCAGGCGCCCCTGAGTTATTATTATTTACCCAATAATTGTGTTAAGCATTGTCGCAAATACTGTGTGTTAAACAGTATCACATTTAAAGTCTATAAAAGGGAGATGATCCAGGGTGTCCCTGAATGGTTGTGCAGGCTGCTCACTGAACAAGGCACCCAGCTGAGGGGCAAAAAGAGTCCTGAAGTCCAGTCTTTCTGGACTCATCAAGCTAGTGCCTCAGCTCGGGGCCTCACTGGAAGAGACGAGCCTTTCTCTACTTTGCACAAAGCTGAGGAATGACCCAGCACTTATCTTAGTGATGGGGAAACTGAGGCTTAGAGAACTTGGCAAAGTCCCGACTGGAAGCTCATCTGATGTTTTTGACTATGATTCCTCTGGGAGGAAGACCAAGGTCTTTCAAGGACTAGGGAAGGAGGTATTTGAAGGCACATCCCTGGTTTGAAGGAAGGGAAAGGGCAGCCAGGCTGTAGGGTTTTCCCTTCACCTTGATCCTTACAGTTCGTGTAAATATTTGAAGAGGACCTGGGCAAAAACACGGCTGAGGTCAAGGATGCACTATCCCCGCTTGGGAATGGGGAGAAGGTGGTCTGGTTTGCATAGGCCTAACTGTAGGTATTTGAACCTGTTCCTTGCCTCTTGTTGGACCCGAGTTCCATTTTGCTCCCCTCCACACAGGAAATTTCCGATTCCTAAAGACACACCGAGGAGCTGCATTCCCCGGAGGTTGGGAATCACAGTGACCTCTGCTCAAGGCAGTCTTTTGGTGGTGGCGGTAGGGGCGGGGAGGTGGGCCTCCACTGAGCTTTTGAAAACTTGAATTGCTTGCCAAAGCTTGCCAATTAGAGATGTTTATTAAAATATCTAGGGGCGCCTGGGTGGCTCAGTCGGTTAAGCGTCCGACTTCGGCTCAGGTGATGATCTCGCGGTTTGTGGGTTCGAGCCCCGCGTCGGGCTCTGTGCTGACTGCCAGCTCGGAGCCCGGAGCCTGTTTCGGATTCTGTGTCTCCCTCTCTCTCGGACCCTCCCCTGCTCATGCTGTCTCTCCCTCTCTCTCTCAGAAATAAATAAAACATTATATATATTAAAAAAAGGAAACCTGGAAGGCTAAGAAACACAAGACTCTCCTGTGTGGACCCTGCCACCTGAGGTTCATGGCTGTTGCCCATTTACCAAACATTCCAGTTAGCGATGGTCTCCAGCCAGCCTACCTCTGTGAGTTACCCGTAGGTAGCTGAGTGTCGTTACTGCTTTGCCTTCTCAGTTGTGAGAACGAGACACCCTTGCAGGTAAAACACCACTTCTCCAAAGGGAAGAGACTGGCACAAGGCGTGACCTGGGCAGGAGTTATGAGTGTCTCCTTTCCCCCCTTTTTTTTTTTCTCTGCCACTCTCCCGGTTGGCGAGGCAGCCGCTTTTCTGCGGTGGGGGTACGGTTGAGGGCAGGTTCCTAGGAGACGTGGGAATGAATAGCTCTGAGACGTTGTCCAGGAGCCCAAGATGGGCTTATTCTCAAGCTCCTGGGAAGAGAATAGAAAGACCGGTCCCCCAAGCAACCATTTGTAGGAAGCCTCCGTAGCATCAGCCCTTTCTTGATTCCCATGCAGCATCTTAAAAATGTCAAACCAGACAGTTTATTTCTTCTCTTCTCCCTCTCTCCATTTCTCTTTGCAGCCAATGTTTCCCGAGTGCCTTCTGTGTGCTAGAAATGGGGTTAGGTGCAGGGCATAGAATGATGAGATAGCTGTTCTCATGGAGCTTACATTTCAGTGGGGCAATCAGCTGGTAAACAGGAGCACACGCAGGACAGATTAAGAGAGCACCAAGTACTCTAAACAACACAGTAACACCACGTGTACCCGGCTGAATGGTGTCTTCCCCAAATTCGTGTCCTTCCCAGAACCCCAGAATGCGACCTTATTTGGAAATAAGGCCGTTGCAAATAGAATTCGTTGAAATGAAACTCATCCTGGAGTTTTATCTTCCACTGGAGTGAAAGGGGTTCTTACTCCAATAAGACTAACGTCCTTACAAGAAGAAGAGAAAAGACACCCAGGGAGAAGTCATGCGGAGACAAGGCAGAGATTGGAGCAATGTATCTACAGGTCCAGAAATGGCAAAGATGGGCCATAATCACCGAATACTAGAAAGAGGCAAGAAAGAATTCTCCCCTAGAGCCTTCAGAGAGAGTGCGAATAGCCTTGTCACGTTTCAGAACCGCTGGGCTTCAGAACTATGGGAGAATAAATTTCTGTTGTTTTAAAGCCATATAATTTTTACAGCAGCCCTAGGAAGTGAACTCGAGAAATGGTCCCTGAAAAATATAGTCTCTCCTAGGAAGCGAATATACAGAGTGATGTGATGGGGTAGGAGAGCTGGTCCTTTCGAAAGCATTAATCACAAATCTGTGGGGAGGTGATGTTTTAGCTGAGATGAAGCTATTACAGAAAGGTCTGAGGGAAGGTGTATTGGAAGCGGCTCTTTCCAATATGGTAGCCACTAGCCACCTGCGGCTATAGAGCACTTGCAAGGCAGCTGGTCCAGAGATGCTGAAAGTGTCCCGTGCCCACCAGATCCCAAAGATGTCGTCTGAAAAGGAAAGAATGTAAAACATCTCGTTTGAGTTTTAGTATTGACTGCAGGTTGAAGGGAGGATATTTTGGATATGTTGTTGAGTTAAATAAAGATGATTGTTAAAATTTATTTCTCCTGTTTGTTTTTACGTTTCTAAATGTGGGAACTAGAAAATTTAAGATTGCATTTGTGGCTCACATTATATTTCCATTGCATGATGTTCAATAAATCCTTTTTTAAAAAAGGTTATTTATTTTTGAGAGAGAGAGAAAGAGTGTGAGCTGGGGAGGGGCAGAGAGACAGGGAGACACAAAATCTGAAGCAGGCTCCAGGCTCTGAGCTGTCAGCACAGAGCCTGACGCGAGGCTCGAACCCATGAACTGTGAGATCATGACCTGAGCCGAAGTCAGATGCTCAACCGACTGAGCCACCCAGACGGCCCCTCCATTGCTTGATGTACTAAATAAGAGGAACAGAGTGTGCAAAGGCCCTGTGGCAAGGAAAGAGCTCCATGTGCTCAGTTGTTTTGTACTCCGCCTGCATGTTGATATTTATTTGGTGATTTTGCTGCACCGGAGCTGGGAAACCCTGCTGAACTTATAAGAAGTAAATATGTGATTCTCTGTCCCTTATCTTCTCAGTGGAGAGGGAGGTCATGAAAAGCAGCCCTTCAGCCTGATGCCTCCTTTCTACTTTCCAACCCCATTGTACTTCGCTAGGTCCAGACTCTGCCCATCATTTCGGCTTGATATGCCCATCTTGCCATCTCTGTGTGCTTGTTAGCATACCAAATGTGGAGCAAGCCAGCTCCATGAGCTTTCTTGTCTGCTGATGCAGTCATGGTATCAAGGCCAGGATATTACGGTATACAGCAGACAGAGACGTCCCTTCCCCAAGTCCATGGCTTGCAGCGTGAACTTCAAGTGCTGCATTAGTTCATTTACTACGCTAGAATTTGGTATTCCTAACACAGAGGTCACAACATGGTGTCCTGAGGACGATGCCCGTGCACTTCAATCATCTTGCAACGTGTTAAAAGCCTTTTTAGGTTCGGTTGTTGCATCAGTCAGGTTAGGCTCCGCTCCGCCACAGTAATGAGCAATCCTCACTCCACAGGGGCTGGTAAGCACCCAGGCTGCAACCCGCTGGCGGTGGCTGGAATCACGGCGTCTTCACGCCAGGCCCCGGGGTGACAGAGCAGCCTTCATCTGGAGAGTACCGTGCATGGTGGACTGGCTCTTGAAGCATCTGCCTGAAAGTGACACACGTTAATTCCGCTCGCCTTTCATTGGCGCGAGCAATTCCGTGGCCAAGTTCAAGTTCAGCAGCAAGCGGCAGGATGTGCCTCTCCTGCAGGCTGGGCCACTCTGCGGGACACCTCTTTCACCCGCTTCAAGTAGTTTCAGCCCTGGCCGACAGTGGTCGCTGCTTCGACGAGTGTGGGCAGGCTCACCTGACAGCCCCCACGACAGACCCCTTGCTTCTCTGATGTACGAGCCTTGGAAGGCAGCAGGAATGCGTGGGGACCCACCCGCATGCCACCAGAAAGTCCCAGGGAATTAGCACCTGTGGGGCTGCCCTTGACCTTGCGGGGTAGTGGATGGATAAATGCTTCCCCTTCCGTCCTGGAGCAGGCAATTCCCAGACACGAGCCACAGGGGCCTCGGAAGGTCCTGGCGGCATGCAGCTCCCTTGGCAACGGTCAGTCCAAGGGCACGTCTCTGCGTGGTTTTCAGTCTCCCCCTTTCACTTTCTGGTCCTACTCCCTGGGATCATTTCCCACCTAAACTACCTGCATGTAAGCTTTTGCCTCAGGGCCTGATGCCAGGAGAAACGAGGCTGAGACAGACAGAGACTAGGAGAAGGGAGACACAATCTCTCACCATTGCTCATATTTATAAGTTAGGAGATTCAATATAAAATCCCAATGCTGGGATTTTCGCAAAAACTCCATTCTGGCAGCAGTGGACCCAAATTCTGGCAGCGCCCCACAGGCTGGACGTGAATAAGGGGTAGTAGCTCCCTTGCAATGGGGACCCAAGTTCTCTGTTGAGCACATCTGCTCTCTGAGGGGGAC